ATGACATCTTGTTCCATTTTTGCTACTTCTGTTGCTTTTTCTGACACTTTTTTCGCATATTCCTCTGTACTTAGTTCTTTCAGTTGTTCTTCTTTCTTCTTTTTCTCTACGTAACTCATTGAGTTTCTTGTGTGTCTGTCATATTCTAGTTTCTTTTCGTTTTCACTTATTTGCTTCTGTATTCTATGTTTGACTTTTTGACATCTGTTATTTGATTTTTGAGTGAACTCAAATTCATTTGACTTTGAGGGTTATAGGCTGTTCCGTCTGCAGCTCCACCATAGCCTGCCATTTTCGCTAAAAGTGCCGCTCTTTAACCTCCACTCTGTGCACCAACAACTCGGTTTAAAAGGCATAGGGTTGCTTGACATTTGTTGCAACATAGTGGGGTCATTCATCATTTGTTGTTGCAACTGTTGTTGTGGTGTCAGTTTTACTATTGGATGTTTCAATGCTCTCTTCCTCTTACGTATATTCTTACGTAGCTTACGTGGCATTTTAAGTGAAGTTAAAAAGCGGTTTTTGACAGATGTTTTGTTGACTTCTTCGTAAAGACTTTGTTGAGATTTCTTCGTAAAGACTTTGTTGAGATTTCTTCGTAAATGAGTGTAAATGACCCAAAAATATATTTTAGGTGAAGAGGTGAGATTTCACCTCTTTTTTCACCTCTTTTTTACCTCATGAATTTTCATGATGATTTTCGTAAATGTTTTGTCAAAACTTCTTCATCTAATTTCTCATGAACTTTCTTGTCTATGTTTTGTCAAGATTTCATCGTAAAGACTTTGTTGAGATTTCTTCGTAAATGACCCTAGTAGTATATTTTTGGTGTAAATTTCATGAAAATTCAAGAGGGTGAAAAATTAGGTGAAAAAACAGGTGAAATCTCACCTCTTCACCTAAACATTATTTTTGGTGTAAATTTCATGAAAATTCAAGAGGGTGAAAATTAGGTGAAAAAACAGGTGAAATCTCACCTCTTCACCTAAACATTATTTTTGGTGTAAATTCTGAGTAAAATGACAGATGGAACACATACTTTTTCAGTAAGTACATATGGGGTAGAAAAGAGGGTAGAAAACGGGGTAGATATACCCTTCTACCCTAAAATATATTTTTGTCTGATTTACGCTCATTACGAAGAAATCTTGACAAAGTCTTTACGATGAAGTTTTGACAAAGTCTTTACGATGAAGTTTTGACAAAGTCTTTACGATGAAATCTTGACAAAGTCTTTACGATGAAATCTTGACAAAGTCTTTACGATGAAATCTTGACAAAGTCTTTACGATGAAATTCATGAAAATTCAAGAGGTGAAAAATGAGGTGAAAAAACAGGTGAAATCTCACCTCTTCACCTAAAATATATTTTTATTGAATTCTGTATAATATTCTGAGTAATATGACAGATGTTTATATAACACTTTCTCCGGTTTATAGGACCTCTCTCATATTCTATCTTGTCATATCAAAACTCATAGTCATGTTTGTCCTCTAAGACTTCATTTATACTAAACATCTTCAGGGCTAGAAGGCACGAAGTGCCTGGAAGCCCCACTACCTTTTTTTTTTTTTTTTTTTTTCAACCCATTAAAATGGAGATGAGGCTAGAGTAGGTGCCAAAAGTGCTTACTCTTAAACAACCGTCGGATTTCCGGGTGAAATCGTGACACACTTTCGTCTTTCGTAGGCAGTGGTGGTTGTTACAAAAGGTAACTTCGAATGTAGCGTGAAATCTGCAAAAAAAATTCTGAAATTTGAATGGATAACACAAAAATTGAATAGTTTACGTCAATAAAAAAGAGAAAAATGAAGCCAATGTGTCTCGAACCTAGGACTTAGAGCAGCAATCCAACTGTTTATCAAATTACACTACATGCATCTCTCACCTCAGTGAATGAGATCAACTATATGATAACTTTTCCCCCATTATATTCTTGTGGAAAAGTGACAAATAGCAACTTTGACCCTCTCTCGATGAGGCTAAGATTTTCAAAAATCATTTCTCGATTTTAACTAAAAACCTTTGGCACCCATATAAATGCATCAGATATTAGGAGGTTAGTTGTATTTAACTTATAATTATCCATAATTTTTCTTATTTTTAATTTTTTTTAAACTCCTTTTTTTATTTAGGTACCCTATTCAATTTCTATCGTCACCATATGGAGAGGTCAGGCCCATATCATAAAACATTAAGTTTGGACTTACTAAGACATGTAAGAATTACCTTGCTTGTATAGGGGCATTAAATACTTTTAGATGCTAAAATCTTCAAAATTAATTTAATTTGATATTCAAAATATGCACGAAAACGTAAATAAATACGGATCTAGCTCTCACATATCTCTATTTTAAGCATTGATAAGTATTTCTACATTCTATTTTAAAAAATATTCAAATTTCACAATATTCTTTTCATTGATAATCTACATATTAACGAGAATGATATAACTTTTCATGTGTTTAGAAGTTCTTAGCTTTAGTACTGTATTGTTGAAAAAATTATTGAAGACTTTTTTCTTTTTGAGAAATTAATGCAATAACCAAAGAGGAATTGCATATGCTGCGCACTAAAATTATAGAAATGTCTCTAATTAGACACAAATAGAGATATTCGGAAATAAAAATTTGAAATTTTGATCAAAAACGCTATTTTCTAATCATTTTTATTTTAACTATATATAAAGTATCTTTTTCTATAATTTATACTTGATGGTTTAAAAGACGTTTAGACTCAAAATTTTACTGCATTTCATGTGGTAACTATGCTTTATCACTAACTACCTCCTTGTTTCAACCCTGAACAATATATTATACCTCCCAATGCAGGTATTACTCCAACAAAATTAGCAATTTGGCTATTGTCTAAAATTTTCTCAAAGAAAGAGGAGTAAAGTCCCATTTTTAGAATTCGAGCTATATTAGAATGCAACTTAGACAAAAGGTTACAGTTTCAATACACATATTCAAAAAATTTGCATTCGAAATTTAAGATAAAGTACAATTTCCAAAAAAGAGTATCGAATCAGTGCACAAATATGCATTTACATGCTTACACTAGCTTGCACTAGTATTAATAATTTTGAAATTAATTTTCAAATTATTCCCATACCTTTTGCAAAATTATTATGCTTATGATTCTAAGCATAGTTAAGCGATCTCGAATTTGAATTGCTAAGAAAAAATAATTAGTAAAAAATTTGTCTATGCATTCTGTATGATGCTACTAACTATATTAGCAGCATACCTAAACTCTTTTCATTATTTTTGAGGGAATGGTACCGGTTGAGAGCTTTTTTAATTAAGGTACTATTTCGATAGAATTTGAATGGTACCCCTTCAATTTTGTGAGGGACCCCCTTTCATTTTTTGAATAGGGTACCTTAAATGAAAAAAGGACCTTAATCCTTTGGAACAATGATATAAAATCCCTCTATTTATGTATATTAGCAATCGTAAATAAGGGTTTCGTTTTGCTAAAATTGTCACTTTTATAGCATATTTGTTTTTGGATGTTTTGCGAAACCAAAAAAAAACTATGATATACAATGTGTGTGTAAAGAAAATACTTTATTTACTAGTTAAAAAATCATTTGGTATTGATCAAGTTATTTTTTCTGGATAAGATATTATATGGATAATTGGATAGAAAATACAATTATATAATCTTGTACCTGGTTTAATTAAGCTAATTGTCATCAGAAACTTGTAATTTTTATGAATTTCAGATTTTCTTTTCATTACTGCTTTTCTTAATAGGTCAAGTTCTTATTTACGTTATAAAGTATGATATTTACAAATATCAAGTTATCGTGTTTTTTGAGAAATTATGAGAAACAAACAAAAATGAAAAAGATAGGAATAGCAATGAATAGTGATGTGGGTATAGAAAATGTAAGAGATATGAATGCAAAGCAATCAGTATTTAGGATATTGACCATAGATTTCGAAAAAAAAAATGCTGCATATTGAGCGAAAACTATGATTATATTATAAGGCTGTCATTTAAAGCATAATGAAACTATTCCCTTTTCATTTTAATCGAATAAGATAGTAAAGATTTTTGAATTAGCTAGAAACTGATGAGATGTTTTCACAAATCAGATTTTTAATCTCTATAATGCATAATTCACTCAATATCTCAATTTTGATATTGCGAGATATTTTTGCTATCGGTTTCGCAATTTTGACACAATAGCAAGAGGGTTCTATAAGCATTATTATCAACGTAGAATCTGAATCTCATATCAGAAAATGTCGCAAATCTGACATTTACCCGACCAAATAGCAAAAATAATTGAATACTTTTCGCAAAAACTTTAAAAATCGATAAAAATATGAAATATAGATATTAAAGAGACTTTTTATATAATATTCATAAAGATTTTCCAAAAATATGATACCGCAAAATTAAAAAAGTGACGTCTTGAGTGGAGTCAAAGGTCGAAATTGCTAGCTAAATGTTTTTTTAGCGAAATTGCGTATTGTACGTTTTTTTCGCAAAACGAAACCCTTATCGTAAATAATATTTTGGAACCTAAGAATAAATACTTGTATTCTTTGGCTAACGATTATGACAATTTACAAAAATATTTGACACTTTACGTGTCCCCCAGAGTTCCAAAATTATTTGGTCGGGTCCCCAATTGTCCCCCAAGCGACATCCTTAGTTGCAATAGCAGTTGAAATCAGATAAAATGTAGCCATTTTTGATTAAAACGATCATATCCAATTGAAAATATTGCAATTTGCGTGATATTACTTGAATATTACTAAAGCTGACAACAGTGTTGTCGTTGATCTATTCTTAAAATGAGAATTCTAGGTCATAACGTTAAAAGGTATTTTCTATTTCATTCCTAATAGTGTCAATCTTTAGAATGGCACTGTTGTTGATGGTTTTGAACTATTTGGAATGATCTAATGAACAGAAATTCGATTAAAAAAAAATAATATTTATTCAAAAAAATGTTGATAATAAAAAAATATAAATAAGATTAGTTGAGGCAGTTGTAGAACAAAACAAGGCATGTCGCCCAAGCGAGCATGAGTTGGTTCTGTAATTTCTTGTTATTCTTGACAGAATCCTTAAGATGTCCATTGAATGTCTTAAGAAGTGTCATTTCCTCGTCTTCTGTAATAGTTTGTGGTGGCTTGTTGTCGTCAGATTCGTTTTCGATTTCAATATCTCTTGCAACAACGTCAATATCTGAGCTCTCCTGTCTCTCAGCCTCTTCAAGCTTCTTCTGTGCAGCGATAACCTCTTGGGCAGCATCAGAAAGTTGCTGTTTGAGATCATCCATTTCCTTATTCTTGGCCTGGAGCTTAGACTGGAGGTCATTGACGTTCTTTTCGGATTCTGCAAGTTGGGCCTTGAGATCCTTGTTTTCTTCTGTCTGTTGCTGTAATTTAGATTTGAGATCTGAAACTTCCTTTTCAGCGGCAGAAAGTTTGGACTTAAGGGCCTCCTTCTCCTTCATCTCGTCATTGAGCTTCTTCTGGAGGTTCTTAAGCTTCTCTGCCAAATCTGATATGTTCTTGGATTCATTAGAATTCTGAGCTTGAATTTGTTGATTTTCTTGTTCAGCCTTGTTTAACTTCTGAAGCAAATCTTCAGCCTTCTTCTGCTGTTCGCCTAAAGCAGACTGAGCAGCAGCCAATTTCTGCTTGAGATCTGCGATTTCAGAGTTAGCTGAATCAAGTTTGGACTGAAGATCGGAGACATCATCGTTGATTTGTCTCTTTTCCGCTTCAAGACCACGAACTTTGTCCTGGAGTTCTTTGACTCTGTTTCTGAGTTTCTCTGCTTCTTGTTTCTGGGCTAATGGTAAGCCAGAATCGGATCTGCTCTGTAATTCGGCCAATTCCTTGTTAAGTTCGTTGTTTGCTTCTTCAAGAACTTTGTTTGCAGCATTTGCCTGTTCGAGAGCAGCGACAACTTTGTTCTTTTCTGCCTTTTCAGCAGCGAGTTTGGCGTTGAGATCCTTGAGATCCTCAAGCTTTGCCTTGTTGTCTTTGTCGAGCATAGAAATTTCGTTCTGATAGAATTCAGAAACATCCTTGTTGTTCTTTGCTTCTGTCTTGAGATTGTTGTTTTCTTTGAGCAATTCTTTAACTCTGTCGTTTGCTTTGCCAAGCTCGTCTTTCTTGGCAATCAACTGCTTTTCTAAGTCAGAGTTCTTCTCTTGCTCATCCTTGAGTTTCTTGAGAGCATCCTGGAGCTTGTTTGCATCCAATTTGTGCTGTTTCTGTTCTTCCTCGTTAGCAGCATTGAGGGCGTTTTGCTGCTTCTCGAGTTCTTGAATTTGTTTCTCAAGATTCTCAATTGTTTCCTGTTTGTTCTGAATGGCAGCGTTGTTCTTAATGTTGTCAAGATCGTGCTGCTGCTTCTCTTGCCTTGCAGAGTTGTCTGCATCATGGTACTTCTGAACAGCTTCATTGTACTTGTCATTGAGTTGTTCTAACTCTTGTTTGAGCTGTTCTAACTGGCGGTCATATAATTCATTGGATTGTGGCTGTGGCTGTGTATTTTGTACAACAGTGTTTGCCTTCTTTTGTGCTTCTGCTAATTGTGATTTGAGTGAATCAACAAGATTTTGAAGGCGGTCTGCATCATTTGCCTTCTTCTTGAGATCCTTGTTCTTGTTCATTAAGTCATTGAGTTGATCAGTAAGCTGCTGGTTCGATGCCTTGAGTTCTTCTTTCTCATTGATTGAGTTGTTTAATTCTCTTTCTGCGGCCTTTGCAAGTGAATCAGCATTGATCTTCTCTTTAGTGACTTCTGTTAATTTGTTGTTGAGATCATTGTTATCATTGGTTAATGTGTCATTGGCAGCTTGAAGAAGTTCGTTCTGGCGCTGTGCTCTTTGTAATTTGTTGTTGAGATCATTGTTAGAGTTCTTCAATGTTTGGATTTCGTCGTCAAGTGATTTGTTTTCTTTCTTCAAATCGTCGTTTTCTTTGTTGACATTTTGAAGACGTTCGTTGTCACGTTGTAATTTAGAAAGTTCTTTATCTTTAGAATTAATTGTGGAGTTTGCATTGTTGAGTTCGTTTTCAAGATCTTCTTTCTCGGATTCAAGTGATTTGTGTTCATTATTCAAGTTGTCATATGATGAATGAAGTTGTTTAAGTTCATTCTTTGCGTTGTCAAGTTCTGATTTAACATTAGAAAGATCACGTAATGCATCTTCTAATTGTTTCTCGAGTTCTTGTTCTTTCTCTGCAATTTCTTTATCATTAGATCCGTTCGTCTTGTTCTGAAGATCCTTAAGAGCTTTCTTGAGTGTGTCAACTTCATTTTCTTTCTTTGTTAATTCGTCTTCCTTCTGCAAGCTCATGTTGTTGATGTTGTCGTAACTATCTTTCAATCTCTGTTGTTCAGTGAGGAGATCTTTAACTCTCTGGTCAGCTTCCTTAAACTGTTTCTCAGCGTTTCTGAGTTTTTCGTTGAGTTCATCAATCTTCTCTTGTTTCTCATTGTTTTCTTCTTTGGCGTCAGAAAGAGATTGTTGAAGTGGTTCGACTTGGTTGGCCTTCTTCTGTGCTTCATTGAGCTTCTTCTTGAGATCATTGATTGTCTCGTTCTGTGCAGAAATGGCGTTGTTTAATTCATCGATTTGAGAGTTAAGATCATTGATTTGGTTCTGTAACTTCTCGTTTTCTCCGGCCTTCTTTTGTGCTTCATTAGCCTTGGCACGGAGTTCATTGATAAATGAATCTTTCTCATTGTTCTGCTCTTGGAGATGCTCGTTCTCCTTTGAGAGATCTTCTGCATTAGCCTTGGTCTTTGCGAGTTCTAATTGAGCATTTCTTACTTCGCCATTTGATTTGAGTTTTTCGGCTGTTTCTTCATCAAGTTTGTTGTAGAGATCCTTGTTCTGTTCCTCGAGTTTTTGAACAAGATTCTGGAGTCTTCCTGCTTCCTTTTGTGCCTTCTGTAACTCAATGTCTTTAGTGCTCAACTGAGACTGAAGATCATTGTTTTCATCATCAAGTTTCTTGTTTTGGTTGTTTGCATCTTCAAGATCCTTCTGAAGTTTAGAGTTCTTTTCGTTTTCTCTTGACAACTTCTGAAGTTCCTTATCTTTAGCAGATAAGTTATCATTAACTTGCTTGAGTTCTTCTTCTTTCTCTTCAAGATCCTTCTTAATTTGTTCGAGTTGGTTCTTAAGAGATTCAAGTTCTGCTTCTTTAGCTGCGAGTTCATCACCATTGTTATCTTTGTTCTTGGCTTCAAGATCTTTGTTCTTTGCAAGTAATTCTGAAATTTGTTTTCTAAGATTTCCAATAACATCACCAGCCTTAACATTGTTATCTAACTGCTCTTCTAATTTCTGTTTCTGCTCATCCAAGTCATCATTTTGTTTCTTGAGATCTTTAATTTGTTTCTGAAGATCACGGTTATTAGCGTTAGATGCATCAAGTTCTTTCTGTTTCTCAGTTAATTCATCTTGTGCATACTTAAGTTTGTCTTGTGTTGGTTGAAGTTTATCGGCCTTCTTTTGGACTTCGTTCATCTGCTTCTCCAACTCATTGAGTTGATTCAATTTCTCGTTGTTAGACTTGATTTCATCATCTAACTTTGACTGAAGTGAATTAGCGAGATTTTCAAGACGTTCTTTCTCACTTAATTCCTTCTGAAGATCATTAAGTTTGGATTGTAATTCCTTGAGTTTGTCATCTTTATCAGTAACTTGTGACTTAAGTTGTTCAACTGATTGATTTTGTTGATCAAGTTCTGCTTCTTTAGATTGAAGAAGACGTTCGAGATCTTTGACTTGGCCATTTAATTTGATGTTATCTTTAGTGGCATCAGTCAATTTCTTGTTGAGATCATCAGAATTAGCTGTTAATTGTTCATTATTTGACTGAAGACGTGTGTTATCTTGCTTGGCTTTCTGGAGTTCGTTATCCTTGTTTGCAAGTTGTGTCTTCAATTCTGAATTTTCAGCATCAGCAATCTTATTTTCAGCCAAAGCAACTTCGAGATCTCTAGTTAATTGATCGAGATGTTCAAGTCCACGATTTGCCTTCTGAAGTTCTTTGTCTTTAGCCATTAATTCATCAGTTGTGTCCTTGAGTTTGTTCTCTGTTTCTTCAAGTTCTTGCTTGGCTTTCTGGAGTTCGTTGATCTTCTCTTCAAGAGCACTTGAGTTATCAACTGGTTTCTGTGATTGCAACTCTTGGATCTTTGCATTCAATTCATCAATTTGTTTGCGAAGTTTCTCAATAATGTCATCATTTTTAACTTTGTCATCTAGCTGTTCCTTGAGATCATTATTTTCTCTGTTGAGATCTCCAATTTGTTTCTTAAGTTCTTTGAGTTCTCTCTCAAGTTCACGGTTCTTATTATTTGCATTATTAAGATCGTTCTGTTTCTCTGTTAATTCTGCTTGTGTATCCTTGAGAGATTGTTTTGTTGGTTCAAGAGCACTTGCCTTCTTTCTTGTTTCAATAAGTTCCTTCTGCTTTTCATTGATTTGGCTGTCTTTATCATTGATAGACTTGTTTGCATCATCTAACATTGACTTGAGCTGATCAACTTGTTGTTGAAGGTTATCTGCAGCGTTTGCCTTCTTTTGGAGATCATTGATCTTGTTTTGTAATTCCTTGTTCCTTGCATCTTTCTCTTGAACTTGTTGTTGAGCAAATTCAGTGGCCTCCTTCTGTTGTTGTGCAGAAGCATTTGCTGTAGCGAGTTCTCTCTCGAGATCACCCTTTTGGCCGTTGAGTTTGATCTTTTCTCCTGTTTCCTTCTTGAGTTTTTCATCACATTCATTGATTTGTTGCTTGAGAGTTGCATTTTCATTATTTGCTCTATCCTTTTCACGCATTGCGTTCTGGAGTTTGCTGTCTTTATCGGAGAGCTGTGACTGGAGATCATCCTTTTCATTTTCGAGCTTCTTGATTTCGTCGTTCGCTTCCTTGAGATCTTCATTGAGTTTGGCAATTTTCTCGTTATCTCTCTTCAATTTCTGGATTTCTTTATCTTTAGCAGATAAATCATTGTTAGCAGTCTTAAGGTCTTCTTGTGTATCATTGAGGTCCTTCTTTGTTTGTTCGAGTTGTGACTTCAAGTTCTGGATCTCTGAATCTTTAGCAGCGAGTTCATTATCTTTCTCGTCATCGTTTTGTGACTCGAGATCTCTAACTCTTGCTTCTAATTCTTGGTTACGCTTCTTGAGATCTGCAAGTGTTTCATTGCGCTTAGAAAGTTCATCTCCCTTTTGAAGGCTAAGATTGTTTGCGTTGTCCAAACTGTTCTCCAACTTCTCATTTTGTGAAAGAAGTTCCTTGACACGATTTTCAGCAGCTTTGAGAGCTTTCTCCAGTTGATCATACTTATCTTTGAGTTCATCAAGTTCTTTCTGTAGCTTGTCGTTTTCGTTCTGTTTATCAACGAGTTTCTTCTCTGTTGGTTCGAGTTGATTTGCCTTCTTCTGGAGCTCGTTGATCTTTGCATCCTTTCCATTGGATTCTGCTTGAGATTCAGCCAATTCTTGCTCCAAGTCTTGGATTCTCTGGTTGGCATTTTCTAATTGATTTGCCTTCTTTTCGAGGTCATTAAGTTTGCCTTGGAGTTCCTTGTAGTTGTTGTTCATTTCATTGAGTTGGCCATTGAGTTGTTTGTTGGTCTGTTTGAGTTCTTCTCCTTCAGCAATTGCATTAATGAGTTCTCTTTCAGCTGTGTTGGCCTTTGACTCTGCCTTGATTCTATCGTTGTTGGAGCTAGTTAATTTGTCGTTGAGATCGTTGTTATCATTGGTTAATGTGTCATTGGCAGCTTGAAGTAACTTGTTTTGATTTTGCTCTCTTTGTAATTTGTTGTTGAGATCATTGTTAGAGTTCTTCAATGTTTGGATTTCGTCGTCAAGTGATTTGTTTTCTTTCTTCAAATCGTCGTTTTCTTTGTTGACATTTTGAAGACGTTCGTTGTCACGTTGTAATTTAGAAAGTTCTTTATCTTTAGAATTAATTGTGGAGTTTGCATTGTTGAGTTCGTTTTCAAGATCTTCTTTCTCGGATTCAAGTGATTTGTGTTCATTATTCAAGTTGTCATATGATGAATGAAGTTGTTTAAGTTCATTCTTTGCGTTGTCAAGTTCTGATTTAACATTAGAAAGATCACGTAATGCATCTTCTAATTGACTCTTGAGGGACTCAATTTCGCGTTCTTTAGCAGCGATGTCCTTGTCATTGGATCCATTCAACTGGTTCTCGAGATCCTTGACCTTGTTTGTAGCATCTGCAAGGGCCTTCTTGAGATTTGCGAGAACTTGATCCTTCTTGGAAAGTTCGCTCTCTTGTTTCATGCTGTCTTCTAACTTCTCTTGGAGATCCTTATTAGCTTTCTCGAGATCATCATTCTTCTTTTGAAGTTGCTTCATCTCTTTCTCAAGATCACGAAGTTGTGTCTTCAAATCATCGACTTCCTTCTGTTTCTCAGTGTTTTCTTGCTGTGAATCAGCGAGATCCTTCTTGGCTTGGTCAAGTTGATTTGCCTTCTTCTGTAATTCATTGAGTTTCTTCTGTAAATCATTGAGTTTGTTGGAAAGATCATCTTTAGATGTTTCGGATTCTGTGAGTTCATCTTCGAGTTCTTTGATGCGAGAATTGGCATCATCAAGTTGATTGGATTTCTTTTCAAGATCATTGACCTTACTTTGGAGTTCTTTAATCTTGTTGTCTTTGTCTTTGTTGAGATTATCAAGTTGTTCGTTTGTCTTCGCTAATTCTTCTGATGCTGCTTTAGCTGTTTGAAGTTCTCTGTCTGCAGCTTTAGCTTGTGAACCGAGTTTGAGCTTCTCCATGACTTCATCAGTGTACTTCTTGTTGAGTTCATCGTTGTTCTTCTGTAACTGATCGCTTGTGCTCTTGAATCTTTCTGCATCGCGTTGAGCTTTCTGTAGATCGTTGTCTTTAGCTGTCAACTTGGATTTAAGATCAGAAATTTGTTCTTCGAGAGCCTTGATTTCCTTCTTTGCTTCTTCAAGATCGTTGGCGACTTTCTGGAGTCTGTCAAGATCACGATTAGCCTTCTGAAGGTCCTTTTCTTTAGCAGCTAAGTTATCAGAAGTTTGCTTGAGTTCATCATCCTTCTCTGCGAGGTTCTTCTTAGCTTGCTCGAGTTGGTTCTTAAGAGAATCAAGTTCTGCTTCTTTGGCAGCGAGTTCTTCTGCATTGTTATCATTTGCCTTATTCTCGAGATCTTTGTTCTTTGCAACTAAGTCAGCGATTTGCTTACGAAGGTTATCAAGTACTTCGTCGCGCTTGGAAATTGCATCGTCTGCAAGTTTGATGTCATCTAACTTATCTTGCAAAGCTTGTTTTTCAGAATCTAAGTTACCGATTTGTTTCTTGAGTTCTTTGATTTGTTTCTCAAGATCACGGTTCTTATTATTGGATTCATCGAGTTCTTTCTGCTTTTCATTTAAGTCATTACGAGAATCTTCGAGTTCTTGTTTAGTTGGTTCAAGTTGGTTGGCTTTCTTCTGAGATTCGTTAAACTTCTTCTGGAGTTCATTGAGTTGATTATCCTTATCGTTGTTAGACTTGTTTGCTTCATCTAACTGTGACTTTGCATAATCAAGTTGTTGTTGAAGGTTGTCTGCATCATTTGCCTTCTTCTGGAGATTATTGATTTGGTCATGTAAGTCTTTGATCTTGTTATCTTTGTCAGCAGCTTGTTCATTGAGTTTGTCAATGGATTCTGCTTGCTGAGCAATAGCAGCATCGTTGTTTGCAAGACGGCGTTGGAGTTCTTGGATTAAGCCATTGAGTTTGATGTTGTCTGTTGTTTCATCAGTCAACTTCTTGTTGAGATCATCAGTGTTCTTTGTTAATTGATCGTTAGAAGATTGAAGACGTTCGTTATCTTGCTTGGATTTCTGGAGTTCATTCTCCGTGTTTGCAAGTTGTGTCTTCAATTCACCATTTTCTGCATCAAGTTTCTTGTTCTCTTCATTAGCTTGAGCAAGTTCTTGGTCAACATCTTGAAGACGTTCTAATTCACGGTTTGCCTTCTGAAGTTCCTTATCCTTAGATGATAAATTGTCAGAAGTTTGCTTGAGTTCTAATTCTTTCTCATCAAGATCTTTCTTAGCTTGTTCGAACTGGTTCTTGAGTGATTCAATTTCTGCATCCTTGACTGCGAGTTCATCACCAGTGTTATCTTTGTTCTTGGCTTCAAGTTCTTTAACCTTTGCGAGTAATTCTGCAATTTGCTTTCTAAGTTTGTCAATGACATCATCAGCCTTAACATTGTTATCTAACTGTTCCTGGAGATCATCTTTTTGTTTCTTAAGATCTTCGATTTGTTTTTTGAGTTCTTTGATTTGTTTCTCAAGATCACGGTTCTTATTATTGGATTCATCGAGTTCTTTCTGCTTTTCATTTAAGTCATTACGAGAATCTTCGAGTTCTTGTTTAGTTGGTTCAAGTTGGTTGGCTTTCTTCTGAGATTCGTTAAACTTCTTCTGGAGTTCATTGAGTTGATTATCCTTATCGTTGTTAGACTTGTTTGCTTCATCTAACTGTGACTTTGCATAATCAAGTTGTTGTTGAAGGTTGTCTGCATCATTTGCCTTCTTCTGGAGATTATTGATTTGGTCATGTAAGTCTTTGATCTTGTTATCTTTATCAGCAGCTTCTGATTTAAGTTGTTCAATAGTTTGAGCTTGTTGTTCTTGAGCAGCATTGTTTGTACCAAGGCGGCGTTCAAGTTCTTTGACTTGTGCGTCCAATTTGATGTTATCTGTTGTTGCAGCAGTCAATTGATTGTTCAAATCATCATTGTGCTTTGATAACTGATCCTTAGATAATTGAAGACGATCGTTTTCTTGTTTGGATTTCTGGAGTTCGTTCTCCTTGTTTGCAAGTTGTCCCTTCAATTCATTATTTTCTGCATCACGATTCTTGATCTCTTCATTAGCTTTCTCGAGATCATCCTCAGCATCCTTAAGATGTTCGAGATCGCGAGCTAACTTCTGAATTTCCTTATCTTTAGCAGAACTCTCATTTCTAGCATTCTTAAGTTCATCTTCAGTCTCTGCAAGATCCTTCTTGACTTGCTCGAGCTGATCCTTAAGAGCATCAAGTTCGGCATCTTTAGCGGCAAGTTCATCACCATTGTCGCCTTTGACTTTAGCTTCAAGTTCTTTGTTCTTTGCAAGTTGGTCAGCAAGCTGCTTCTTGAGATTTCCGAGTACTTCGTCGCGCTTGGATAGTTCATCATCAGCAAGTTTGCTTGTATCTAAATCGTCTTTCAATGCTTGCTTCTCATTATTCAAGTCACCGATTTGTTTCTTAAGATCCTTAATTTGTTTCTCAAGATCACGGTTCTTATTATTGGATGCATCAAGTTCCTTCTGCTTCTCATTTAAGTCATTTCGAGCATCTTCGAGTTCTTGTTTAGTTGGTTCAAGTTGATTAGCCTTCTTCTGAGCTTCGTTCAACTTCTTCTGTAATTCATTGAGTTGATTGTCTTTCTCATTGTTAGACTTGTTTGCATCATCTAACTGTGACTTAAGTGAATTAGCGAGATTCTGGATACGATCTGCATCATTTGCCTTCTTCTGCATTTCGTTAAGTTTGGCTTGCATTTCCTTGAGCTTGTTATCCTTGTCCTTGATCTGTCCTTGCAATTGGTCGTTGGCCTTCTTCTCTTCTTCTGTTGCTGCCTTAGCTGATTGAAGTTCTCTATCGGCAGCCTTGGCTTGTGCATCGAGTTTGATCTTTTCAGCAGACTCTTCTTTGAGTTTGTTGTCTAAATCATCGATGTTTGTTTGGAGTTGGTCGTTGTTTAACTTAAGTCTATCTGCATCACGCTTTGCCTTCTGCAAATCGTTTTCTAAAGCATTGACTTTAGACTTAAGAGCAGCGTTTTCGTCATCAAGGTTCTTGTTTTCTTCTTCCAAGTCCTTGAGATCTTGTTGTTCGAATTTAAGACGTTCGTTTTCTCTGTTGAGTTTCTGGTTCTCTTTTTCTTTGGCCAAATTCTCGTTCTTAGCATTCTTGAGTTCTTCGTCTCTCTCGGCAAGCTCCTTCTTGGTTTGTTCGAGTTGTTTATTGATGTTCTCAAGTTCTGCTTCTTTGGCAGCGAGTTCTTCTGCATTGTTATCATTTGCCTTATTCTCGAGATCTTTGTTCTTTGCAGCTAATTCAGCAATTTGCTTGCGAAGGTTATCAAGTACTTCGTCGCGCTTGGAAATTGCATCGTCTGCAAGTTTGATGTCATCTAACTTATCTTGCAAAGCTTGTTTTTCAGAATCTAAGTTACCGATTTGTTTCTTGAGTTCTTTGATTTGTTTCTCAAGATCACGGTTCTTATTATTGGATTCATCGAGTTCTTTCTGCTTTTCATTTAAGTCATTACGAGAATCTTCGAGTTCTTGTTTAGTTGGTTCAAGTTGGTTGGCTTTCTTCTGAGATTCGTTAAACTTCTTCTGGAGTTCATTGAGTTGATTATCCTTATCGTTGTTAGACTTGTTTGCTTCATCTAACTGTGACTTTGCATAATCAAGTTGTTGTTGAAGGTTGTCTGCATCATTTGCCTTCTTCTGGAGATTATTGATTTGGTCATGTAAGTCTTTGATCTTGTTATCTTTGTCAGCAGCTTGTTCATTGAGTTTGTCAATGGATTCTGCTTGCTGAGCAATAGCAGCATCGTTGTTTGCAAGACGGCGTTGGAGTTCTTGGATTAAGCCATTGAGTTTGATGTTGTCTGTTGTTTCATCAGTCAACTTCTTGTTGAGATCATCAGTGTTCTTTGTTAATTGATCGTTAGAAGATTGAAGACGTTCGTTATCTTGCTTGGATTTCTGGAGTTCATTCTCCGTGTTTGCAAGTTGTGTCTTCAATTCACCATTTTCTGCATCAAGTTTCTTGTTCTCTTCATTAGCTTGAGCAAGTTCTTGGTCAACATCTTGAAGACGTTCTAATTCACGGTTTGCCTTCTGAAGTTCCTTATCCTTAGATGATAAATTGTCAGAAGTTTGCTTGAGTTCTAATTCTTTCTCATCAAGATCTTTCTTAGCTTGTTCGAACTGGTTCTTGAGTGATTCAATTTCTGCATCCTTGACTGCGAGTTCATCACCAGTGTTATCTTTGTTCTTGGCTTCAAGTTCTTTAACCTTTGCGAGTAATTCTGCAATTTGCTTTCTAAGTTTGTCAATGACATCATCAGCCTTAACATTGTTATCTAACTGTTCCTGGAGATCATCTTTTTGTTTCTTAAGATCTTCGATTTGTTTTTTGAGTTCTTTGATTTGTTTCTCAAGATCACGGTTCTTATTATTGGATTCATCGAGTTCTTTCTGCTTTTCATTTAAGTCATTACGAGAATCTTCGAGTTCTTGTTTAGTTGGTTCAAGTTGGTTGGCTTTCTTCTGAGATTCGTTAAACTTCTTCTGGAGTTCATTGAGTTGATTATCCTTATCGTTGTTAGACTTGTTTGCTTCATCTAACTGTGACTTTGCATAATCAAGTTGTTGTTGAAGGTTGTCTGCATCATTTGCCTTCTTCTGGAGATTATTGATTTGGTCATGTAAGTCTTTGATCTTGTTATCTTTGTCAGCAGCTTGTTCATTGAGTTTGTCAATGGATTCTGCTTGCTGAGCAATAGCAGCATCGTTGTTTGCAAGACGGCGTTGGAGTTCTTGGATTAAGCCATTGAGTTTGATGTTGTCTGTTGTTTCATCAGTCAACTTCTTGTTGAGATCATCAGTGTTCTTTGTTAATTGATCGTTAGAAGATTGAAGACGTTCGTTATCTTGCTTGGATTTCTGGAGTTCATTCTCCGTGTTTGCAAGTT